TACACACTGAAATTGATGCACAGAGCTCCCTCTTATCTCAATGCTCCCCTATGCTTGCTCAACCATTTCCAAACTACCTTAAAATAATTTATGCTGTAATTCAATAGAAGGTTATCGCTTACTTCTTACTTTATGCTCAAAACTCAGTCACTCACCTAACATGTCAAACATGAGTGTTGTGCATAGAGAATGTCAAGTATTGCATCACAAGTATAAGTTAATTTATTCAGCACCATATCCACAGTTTTGTAAGTTACACCAATCCAATATTTACATCATAGTCGACAAGGCTATCAAGCCCACACAAGTACTCATGAAAGGAAATAAAATAAATTGGATAAAATGCACAATTTTAATTTTATTTTTGTAACACTCGTCAAGCACATAACATGTAAAAATGAAACATATATACTGAAGGGACACCAATATTGATGAATTTATGCAAAGTAATGTAAAGATGTCCAAAATTATGTCATCCTCCAAACGTAGTTTTACATTGTCCTTAATGAATAATTAACAACGGTTGAAAGACATAATTGAAGGACAGTTTCATAAAAATCAAAAGTAGTAAACAATACTCCCCTGATCAATATGGATGTGGTGGTGGGAAGATGTTTCCTGCTGTACCATCATCTGGAGGTGGAGGTAGGCGATCTAAAATCTCTCTCATCATTGCTGACTGCTGTGCCATCTCATCTTGGATTCCGTCAACACGTGTCTCCATGCGGCCCAGATGTTCCCAGGTCTCATTCACTCATATCTGGATGCCATCCACCCGGCCCACATACATACTCAGTATACCGTTTATAGTTTCTATCTCTCTCCTAGCTGCCTAGGAATTCAAGTGAGCGACTCATGCCATATCAGTGGCGATATGAATGTCACATCGAGCTGTCTACATGTCAGTCATCAAAGCGCCCATAGCCTGTTGGAGACGCTATCTGTCACGACTGGCTCCCGTAGTGGTGGTGAATATCTGACGCCATAACTGTGTATCCACCTCAATCTATGGTGGTGGAGCTTGTGGCATCTCTTGATCTGCAGGCACCTGACCTTCCTCCTCCTGCTGCCTGCGGCGCTCATTCTCTTGCTTTTTCCTGTGTTTTATCCTGGCTCTGTCTTGAGCTTCCAGTGTACTGCATTTTATAGGGAGGCTGGGTTTAGCAGGTGCCTCCTCGGTGCGATATTAATGCTAGCAGCCATGCATATGCCGAAGATGAGGCTGGGAAAAATCATTAAACTGTGCCTGTCTCCTAGAGTACCCACATGATGGATTTGATTATAACAGAGAGTGGCGAGATCGATCTTATTTCCCCGTACCAAGTGATAGATGAACCCGGCTGTGGGATCTGTGAATGTGGTCCTATGCGAAGTCAGCTCAGTGTTATAGCACATAAATAGCCACAAGATGGCTATAGACGGTGTTAGCTCAATTTGGTGCCATACAGTGGTGGGGAGTGGCCATGTATTTTGTCACCCCAATAGGATCTCTGCCACTTCATTCCAATTAAAATCGCTCGGGATGGGGGTTATGTTATCCCATGTGAGCTGATAGTAGTATTGAATAACCTCTGGTGAGAATATAATCCAATGTCCCCTGACCCATGTTTGATGCAAGTGGTCGGACCCTAGTGTATCGATCTCTGCATTGAAATTTGCGAAGAATTCTACCACCAATGATTCATAAATTCGATGTGGCTGCTCTACTACCTTTGCCCACCCACAATTATCCACCAAAGTGATCATGTCAAAACTTGGAAAATCCTCTAATTTTACTGCCGCTCTGGTATTACTATCCACCGACTCACAATATTTTCATAGCAGGCTGTTGTCCCAAAATTCAGAAATTTTTGTATCCCTCCTTCAAGAACTCGAGTATGGGCTGTTCTGGAAGATGAGCCAACTTTTTCTTTCCCTTTCGAGATTCGTTTTGGAGGCATCCTGTAAAATTAAAAAGTAACATTCATTAGGTTTCATGTTGACGTCCAAGTCATGGAATAAGGAAAACGAGGCATATATTGTCCAAATCCCCCAAACTTGATTCAAAATGCATGTGTATGAAGTTGGTATGGAAAATGCATGAAATATGTCCCAATATAGGGATATGTGTCAAGATAAGAATGTACCAACAAGACTTGGCCCAAAAACAAGCAAATTGAATAATAGAACCTATGACTATCTAAGGACTTTCACGCATAGGCATCATCAAGAAAATTCAAAATTCTCCCAAGCAACCTCCAGCCATATGAAAGCTTTCATATTGTTCCACCACGTATTCAAATTTCAGGGCAATTGGAGGTCGTTTGATGAGGTAATTTAAGGTGCAAAGTATGTGACGTAGGGTGCCGTGACCTAGCCAGGATGTGCCTTGCGTGTTGATGTTGGGTGTTGGTGTTTTCCAATTCAAATTCTATGGTAATTCATCACAAATAGGTAATCCACTTCAATCATCAATCACATGTCATGCTAGATTCACAAGAATGCAATCAAATTTTAACTTAGACATTTTACCGTACACATGGTGTGCACAATCCGGAAGTCATAGGAATTGAAGAAATTGATGAATGAAATTAATCCATAAAGCACAAAACACAATCAAATTCATAAACCAACCTAAACCCAATCTCCTCAATTTACAAAAACAAATTGAAAATAACCTCACACCGAGCATAGAGACATGAATGGGGATGAAATTCATACCTTTGAATATTGTTACTGTCGTGTTTTTGTGGTTGTTCCCAAGTGCTTGATTATTGTTGTGTGCAATTAGGATAATCTAATGTGACTTGGCTTTAATTTGGACGTGAAATAAGAGGAATTTTGATTCTAGGTTCGTATATGATTTGGGGAAGAATGAGAGTTAGGAGACCAAGTTATGGGTTAAAAATCCGTAACTTGCCTCTTCTATGCTGTCGTATAGTATAATTCTATGCGGTCGCATAGAACAAATAATCCGACCCGTTAATTTCCTTGAGTGCGGCCGCATAGACTATATGCCTATGCAACCGCATAGACATAATCAGGCTTCCATTTTTCTCTCTCTTTTATTTTTTTTAAAACTAAATGCACATGGAAAATTTTTAAGAACACAATTGATTCCCCATAATTCGACCTTGACCAAAATTTTCCCCAAATTCTTGGTTTTCAACTTGTGACTTCGAACCGGTCTTTTATAGTCCCCCAAAATTTATCAAAACACATTAGACCATATGGGGCACGTGTAGGTCATTGACATAGTTCCAAAATCATTTTTTAAAATTGAAGTCACCCTTTGATCCCCAAAGTACTTTGAGAAACACACTTTCTGTCTCGAAATACGTGACGTTCACATCCAATCACGTAAACACTAAATCAATCATTCCTAACTTGTGCTCGATGAATAGGGACCCGTGTGGGTAGTGCTTAGACTCAATTGACCTGCATGGATGATCGATGACCTAAACCTAAAAAAAATCAAACGTGAAAATCAAAATTTCCTAAGCTAATGCCAAAATTAAAAGTAATGAAAATGATACAGTGGGTTGCCTCCCACCCAACGCTAATTTATAGTAGCTCGAATTTTCTGTAGCTGTTTCATTCTAGTGTCCCGAGTTGAATGGTGGACTTTTGCTTAGAGAAGTCACCACCCCAGTATTGTTTCAGCCCTTGCCCGTTAACTATGAAAGTACCCTTAGTTTCATGGCTAACTTCTATATCCTCGTATGGTAACATCTTAGTGATTGTATGAGGACCCCCAACCACATTGTCCTTAATTTTCTCGGGAATAGCTTGAGTCTAGAGTTGTACAATAGCACTTTCTATCCCACTTCAAACTCTCACCTCTGAATATGCATGTCATGCCACTTCTTGGTTCACTCTTTGTAGAGCCTTGCGTTTTCATATGCTTCCATTCGAAATTCATCTAACTTATTCAGTTGGAACAATCTCTTTTCACTGGCGACCTTCAAATCCATGTTTAACTGTTTCATATCCCAATATGCTCGGTGTTTTATCTCTAGTGGCAGGTGGCATGCTTTTCCAAAAACTATGCGGTATGGAGACATCCCTATTGATGTCTTGAATGCTGTCCTGTAAGCCCACAAAGCGTCGTCCAACTTTTTAGACCAGTCCTTTCGAGATGAATTCACTGTAACCTCAAGTATTCTTTTCAATTGTCGATTAGAAACTTCCACTTGCCCATTGGTTTATGGACGATAAGAAGTAGTTATACGGTGTTTGATGCCATATTTATTCAACAACTACTCAAACTGGCGATTGCAAAAGTGTTTTTCCCCGTCACTGATTATAGCCCGTGGTGTGCCATATTGGGTGAAAATGTACTTCTTCATGAACCCAATTACGGCCTTCGCGTCATTTGTTGGCAATGCAACTACTTCTACCCATTTGGATACATAGTCTATTGCTACCAAGATGTACTGATTCGAGAAGGACGGGGGAAGGGTCCCATGAAATCAATCCCCCAGACATCAAATATTTCCACTTCCAAAATGTTGTTCAATGGCATTTCATTCCTTTTCGAGATATTTCCAGTACGCTGACACCTATCACACCTCTTCACAAATTCAAAGGCGTCTCTGAATAATGTAGGCCAGTAAAACCTTGACTCTAAGATCTTTGCAGCAGTCTTTGACGCTCCAAAGTGCCCCGCATATGCAGATGAGTGGCAATGTTCAAGGATTTCGGGTACTTCTTCTTTAGGTATACACCTTCTTACTATCTGATCAGCCCCTCGCTTGTAGAGAATCGGATCTTACCAGAAGTAGTACTTCAGTTCGGCAAAGAACTTTTTCCTCTGGTGGCTTGAGTAATCTGGTGGTGGAATGTACTTAGCCAAGTAATTGACAATGTTTGCGTACCAATGTGCTTCTTCTACTCTTAACATCTATTCATCTAGGAAAATTTCATTGATATCCACTAATTCTTCTATCTCCCCAGACTCCAATTGGGACAGGTGATCTGCTACAACATTTTCACTCCTCTTTTTATCTCTGATTTCAATGTCAAATTCTTGCAGCAACAATATCCATCAGATCAATCTCGGCTTCGCATCCTTCTTTGTTAGCAGACACTTCAGGTGCAGTGTGATTTGTGTAAACTATGACCTTAGATCCCACAAGATATGATCTAAACTTGTCGAATGCATATACTACGGCCAAGAGCTCCTTTTCAGTGGTAGAGTAATTGATTTGGGCATCATTTAGGGTTCTGCTTGCATAGTAGATCACGTGAAAAAACTTGTTTCTCTGGTGTCCCAATATTGCACCCACGGCGTGATCACTGGCTTTACACATTAGTGCAAAAGGCAATCCCCAATCTGGCGCTACAATTACCGGTGCTGATGTGAGTTTCTCCTTCAAAGTGTTGAACGCTGTCAAGCATTCCTCATTAAACTCAAAATGTATATCCTTCATCAGTAGATTGCACAAACGCTTAGTGATTTTTGAAAAATCCTTTATGAATCTCCTGTAAAACCCCACATGCCCCAAGAAACTACTGACCCCTTTAACTGATGTTGGTGGCGGTAGCTTCTCAATAACTTGAATTTTCACTTTGTCCACCTCAATTCCCTTTGCTGAGACCCGATGTCCAAGTACAATTCCTTCCTGTACCATGAAGTGGCATTTTTCCCAGTTAAGAACTAAGTTAGTCTCCATGTATCTCTGTAAGACCAGATTTAAATGCACCAAGCATTCATCAAATGACGATCTAAAAATTGAGAAATCATCCATGAATACCTCTATGAATCTTTCAATCATATTAGAGAATATTGCCATCATGCATCTCTGAAATGTCGCTGGAGCGTTGCACAGACCAAATGGCATCCTACGGTAGGCGAAAGTGTCGTAAGGACAAGTGAACGTGGTCTTCTCCTGATCCTCTGGCGCAACTGGTTTCTGGTTGTAGCCGAGTATCTATCAAGAAAAGAGTAGTGTGAATGTCGTGCCAACCTTTCTAGCATCTGATCAATAAACAGGAGTGGAAAATGGTCCTTTTGTGTAGCTGCATTGGGTTTGCGATAATCAATGCAAACTCTCCATCTCGTCACTGTTCTGGTAGGAATTAGCTCACTTTTCACATTTTGTACCACCGTGATCCCCCCTTTCTTCGGCACAACTTGAATGGGCTGATCCATTCACTGTCTAAAATTGGGTATATAATGCCGGCATCCAGTAATTTAAATACCTCTTTTCTTACCACTTCCTTCATGTTTGGATTCAGTCTTCTCTGCCCTTCTATACTTGGCTTACAATTCTCCTCCATGAGAATTTTGTGCATACATAGTGAAGGACTAATCCCTTTAATATCAGCTATCGTCCACCCAATCGTAGTCTTATTTTCTCTGAGTACCCTAAACAGTTTTTCTTCCTCCACCTCACTAACTATGTTTGAAATAATCATCGGGAGTGTACATGACTCCTTCAAATAAGCATATCTGAGATGTGGGGACAGTTGCTTGAGTTCCAATACTGGCAGCTGCTGAATGGAAGGTAATGGTTTTGTGGTCCCTATTCCTAGCTCCTCAAAGTGTCTCTTTCGTGTGTATGGTGGGTTGGTTTCCAGAAACCATGCACATGTCTCAATCTCAAGAGAGTTTGACTAGGCTAATTGAGAATGTGCAATACACGCCTCATAAGCATCGGATGTGCTGTTGATTAAGAATGTTTCCTGGACCACCTTATCAATGACATTGACTTGGAAACAACTATCTGATTCTGAAGGGAGTTTCATGGCCTTAAAGACATTGAATGATATCTGCTCCTTCCCCAATCTCAAAATTAACTGTCCCATCTGAACATCAATAAAGGCTATCCATTTACCAAAAATGGTCTATCAAGTATCAACGGGATGTCCTTGTCTTCCTCCATGTCTAAAATGAGAAAATTTCCAGGGAATATGAATTTTTCAACCTTGATAAGCACATCTTCTATTATTCCCCTAGGTGGGTCAGCGACCTATCAGCCAACTGTAGTGTTACGGTAGTCACTTTAGCCTCTCCCAAGTCGAGTTTCCTGAAAGCAGACAGAGGCATTAAATGAATACTTGCACCAAGATCACATAAGGCTTTATCAAAATAAACTTCACCAATAGTGCAAGAAACAGTAAAACTCCCTGGATCTTTCAATTTTGGCGGGAGTTTTTTCTGAATTCTAGCGCTACATTCTTATGTAAGCATTACTGTCTCTTGGTCTTTCAGCTTTCATTTATTTGATAGAATGTCCTTTAGAAACTTTGCATAGCTAAGCATCTGGGATAGTGCATCTGCTAGCGGGATATTGATGTGGAGCTTTTTGGAGACTTCGAGAAATTTCTTGTTCTGCTGCTCCATTTTATGTTTCCTCAACCGTTGGGAAAATGGAATTGGAAGCTTGTATGGGTTGATTGTAGCCGTGGCTTTATCCTGTGAATTGTCTGAACTTCCATTTGGAGTTGATTCTTTTGGTTGTTCGTCTTGTTCCATAGTTTCTTCCTCTACAAGAGGTGATGTCTCTCCATTCACACTCGATCTCTTGACATGTATTTCGGGTAGCTGCAACCCACTTCGAGTTATAATGGCCTTAGCTTGCTCCTTGAGGTTAATTTCTGTGTTACTCGGTAGATTACTCTGTGCTCTGCCAGTCAACGTCATGGCTAGCTACCCCATTTGAGTTTCCAAAATTTTAATGGCTATATTTTGGTTCTGAAGGGTAGCTTCGGCTTTCTCCATGAATTTCCCTAATATCTTTTCCAATTAAGGTCTCTTCTCTTATTATTGAAACTGTTCCCGTGGCCTTTTCTGATTTTGGTTGCTCCAAGAAAAGTTGGAATGCTTCTTCCAACTGGGATTGTTAGTTTCCCCATATGAGTTGTTCTATTGGCGCTGTCCCCGTTGTGCATAGTCTGCTTTCTCAATTCCTTGCATTATGATTGGGCACTCTGATGTTTTATGCTTAGCTCCACATTTCTCATAATTATTCTTCTTAACGTGTGCTGACCGTGACATGCTTTCAACTATGTGACACAAAGAGTCGATCTTTGCGGATATAGCTGAATAAGTGTCTATCTTGTAAACACCCAGACCTTTCTTTGGGATCACCCTCTCAGAAGACCACATGGCTGAAGTGGTAGACATTCTCTCGAATAATTCCATCGCTTCATCAACTGTTTGTGTGGAGATTGAGCCATCTGATGCTGAGTCCACCATGCCTTTGTAGTATGGAGGTAACCCTGTATAAAAGAAACAAATTTGGGTCTTTTTGTCAAACCCATGTTGAGGGCACTTTCGAAGCATGTTTTTGAATCTGTTCCAAGCTTCGTCAAATGATTCAGTTTCTCCTTAATTGAATATTGATATGTTATGTCTCAACTTAGCTATCTTAGCCTGTGAGAAGAACTTTGTGCAAAACTTATGAGCCAGCCCGTTCCAGGTGGTAATGCTTACGACATGAAGTGAATTTAACCACTCAAGTGCTGTATCCCATAGCGTATGTGGAAATAGCCTTAGTCTAATAGCATCGTCTGAAATTCCTTGATATCTGAAATGTTGGTACATATCCAAGAACCAAGATATGTGTGTATGTGGAATTTCTTCAACTCTCCCATAGAATTGATGTCCATTTTGGAATAGCTGCATCACATTGGTCTTCAACTGGAAGTTTGGTTGCCCAAACGATGGATACACTATACTGGACTGGCTTTGAATCACTTGAGGAGTTAAGAAATCTCCTAAAATTTCATTTCTTTCATCTGCCGCCTCTCCTGCGTTAGCTTGAAAAATGGGGTTGTTCTGTAAGTTAGCCATTTGTTCTTGTTGTTGTTGACGTGCTTCTCTATTTTCTCGTTGCAATCGGTGAAAGGTTCGCTTAGTTTCTAGGTCTACTGGAATTAATTCTCCTCCCGTCGTCGTAGACATGGAACTCTGCGAGAAAATCAATAGTAGCACTCAGATTCAATTAATATAAATAACTAAAATAAAAATAAAACAAAATGTTTAAATGAAATTAAATGAATAAATAAAAATGAAAATTAAAAGTTCGAATTAGTGCCTAAAAAGAAATAAAATTTAACTAAACTTAATCCCCGACAACGGCGCAAAAAACTTGTTTGCGAAATATTTTTTTCAATTTAAAACACAGCAAGTGTACAATTCGTTAACAAGTAATAATGTAGAATTTGAGTCCGAATATCATCCCATAGGGATTGAGTAGTTCAATTATACCTATCGTAGCCTTAACCGAAACTGAATTATCCAAATTGAGTTTTTGACCTAAAGGAAATCCTAATTTTGCAAATGTTATAAAATAAAGGATTTAATATGCAAAATAACGTTTTAATTAATTAAAATGCAAATTAAATGGTTCGAATGCAAGTTTGTTGTATTCAATGGAAATTAAAAGCACTAGGATCACGATTTCCCATACAATTATCACTTTAAACCATAATTTCGCAATGCGACAACACACTTAAATTGTTGACGAATCAATGCTCCTAAATCTATCCAATACTCTCTCTCGAGATGTATCGAACCTATTTTTACATACTACTGACCTATATTTCTATGACAGGTGTATATATAAAAATGCATACGATTTTGTGAACACTTAAAGATTCACGTAGGGCATAGAGGTATATTTCTATCCCTTGTCGAACCCTACGATGATTTATATTTTTATCGAACCTATTCTAGTTCTCTTGAATGCAAGAATAAGCCACCTAAACATGCACAATTACGGGCCATTAACTGCGGAAACAATAATTGCATATAAATCATTCAAAACAATCAAAACGTGTTTTTAATGTCAAATTGTAAAACTAAAAAATTAAAGATCAAATCACATGGTACATCGATCTCCTAATATATGAAAATCTAGCCTAGCATAAATAAAATATAAGAATACATCAGATTTTGAAGAAAAAACATCATCGGGTTATGAATACTTGATAAATCTTGAAAATTCTAGTGCAATTCTTCGTTACTTGCACTCAAAATCCTCTCCAAGATATAGTTTCTTGTCTCCCAATCCGTTCTCCCCTTGTTTCTGATGGATTTGGGTATTTATATTGCGTTTAGATCAGATTTCCATAAGAATTTCATCGCAGATGGGAATTCGCAGAATCGGCCCCAGAATATGCCTATGCGACCGCATAGGTTTATGAAATTTGGTATATTAATTCCCTGCCTTGGTGTTTGCGACTGCATAGGGGTTTCTACTATACGACCGTATAGTAGAACAAACTTTCAAATTATGTTATGTTGGTCCTCAAACTTTATTCCTCCACTTCTTAACCTCCTTTCGTGTTTCTAGTTGTTCCAATGTTCCATTATGATCTCTAATTGGTACTTAGCTCGATCAATTGCTTGATGTGTCCATCGGATCAACTCTTAGGTAATTGCACTTTGGTCCCTGAACTTTCACTTTGCTCCAATTTAGTTATTTTTCGCCTATTTTCTCCTGAATTTCACCATATTCATCCGTATGTCATACGATACATTAATTAACTGAAATTAAATCACAATTCCAATGTTTTTCTCTTAATTATGTCATGTTTGTGAACTAAATAAGTGTGTATAAACACACTTATCAGAACACTTTTTGAAACATACCCAAGGTACTGGTTTTCCACTTGAACTACCACTAGAAGACCATTATGAGGTAAATCTTGAAGGGCCTATGCAGGAGAGTCATAGAGAGTTATGAACTCTACTATTTTTAGATTGTTTCTCACTTTGATATTTTCTAGAAGAGGTAGCAGAAAGATCTCCATCGAATATTACAAATTTAATAATAATAACTGTCATTTTGGATGAAGATGCGAAAATTGTTTGTTTTAGCTGGTTGATAATCCCTCTCTATCGTTTCATCCTTTTGGCGGCAGGTTCTTGTAATGTGGTGTTGGAAATCTCTTTCTTCATATTTGCTTGTTGCATCCATTACGTAGCCATTTTTCATGGTGGATTTTTCAACCCGAGTTTCTTCAACCCTTTTGGTGGCTGGCATTGCTATTTTGGTAGAAAATTGCTCAGAAAAATCATCCTACTTGCCAGAAAATTGTTTTCCCTAGTAGCTATTTTCATTCCTTTATGGTTTTTGTTGCTGTCTTTGCTACTTTCCGTATATAAATGCCTTGAAAACTATCTTTTAAGGTGGCTTTTGAATGTGGTGAAAACATTGTTAACGTATCGTTTCCATAGACGATGCCAATCTATTGACCTCAAAAATACGCCAATGGAATCCCGATCATGTCCCCTTTATGTAGAGATCACTTGCACACACTGAGCATCCCGTTTAGAAAACAAAGGCCATCTCTCGAAAAAAAAGTTCGATGATCATTTACACTCTGAGAGTCAAGTCAATGGTCGGACGAGAGAAATATGAGTGTAAGAGAGGGAGAAGAGATTGCCACATAATTTATGGATATAACATAATCCTTTTTCTTTTGCCTACAGAAAATTCTAGTGCTCTTTTTGCAATCAGCTTTGATTAGTCGTAGATAATTATTTATTGAATATTGTTTACATATGTATATTTCAGAAGAGTTTTTTGTTGTTCTTGAAAAACACAAGCTAACTATATTAATATTCTAGAAGAATATTATTATCTTGTCCACGAAGGAAAACACTTTTCTACGTATCAATATTTTGGCATGTTAATTCTCGTGAAGAAGCAAATCTTTATATTATGCAAAAAAATATAGTATTGTTGCTCTTGAAAAAGTGTAAGTTTATTGCCCATTTAAATATTTTAAGGTAAAAAAATGTATCCAGTCCAGTATAATTTTTATTTTTATCAAACCACAATTTACAACTTAGAAGAACTTTCTTTTCATTGCATAACTGTTTTTAGAGTATATATCAACTAAGCAATATAATTAAAAGTTTACTACATATAAGTTGATGAAAGTGTAGTAGAAAAATTGTTAATTTTCATGATTTACATTATAATTCATCAATTGAGTTTTTATTTTTCAATAAGAAAGTAATTTTTATTTTCATCAACAAAGCCCTTTTTATAATCTTCATGATTTACATTATAATCCATCCATTAAGTTATTATTTAATTGAGCTAAATGATGAATTAATATATTAATTGGGACATTCGATCACTGAAAAAAAATATTATGTACAAAGAAGTATTATATTAATCATGTTATTACATTTTAGTTTATTTAACATTTTCACATTATATATATAATTTCATAAAAAAGTTTCATATATATATATATATATATATAAAATCAATTATCTCTATTATTTTTAAAAATTGGTATTAGTAATTCAAAAATAGTACGTATATCATTCATCGATATATAAAATGTGCAACGTACATGTTTACTACTAGTAAAATAAAGAATAATGCTTTAAGTACAGGAAACTTTCTACAGGCAACATACAGGAATTTGAATAATGCTGAGCTGGCAAGTCTAAAATGAAACCAACTCCAATTTTCCCACAATTCATTCCAATTTCCCCCAATTCATTTTACGCAAGAACCGTAGTGGGCCAAAGCTCCCACCCCATCCGACGCCACTCATCAGCACCACCGGCCGATGCACTCACCGACACCACCGACCAACGCACTCACCTCCACTGACCATTGTTATGCCTGAAATCGAAACCCTTGGAAAAATCTCTGGCGTCGCACACGAAACCGATTTCTGAGTTTCCGGAGCACTGACTTCCATCCTCGAAGCTGCACTCACATCCCTTCATAGTCATAGTGGACGACAGGTTAGTATGAGAAATTTGTCTACTTTTGTATGAGAAATTTGAGATTGGACAATAGGTTAGCCTAGCAAAAATTAATTGAAATTTGTTGCACTGCTTTTATACATGGATTGGTTATACTTGTTTAAGTTAACACTGCAAAAATGGTTGACGTGGGATCTTGTAATTTAATCGCATTAATATGAGTTTATTTCTCTATTCAGCAGTTATCGATTAGAATGAGGGGAAGAAATTTTGGAGTTTGTCACGATTGTAGAACACTCACAACTTTGGACAATACCAAACAAAACGTGGATGCCCTTGGTATAAAGATGGATTCCGACTATGTTTTGAGGTCGAACGGGATACTAGAAACAAATGGTGCTTGTTCTTCATGTGTAGTAATGATTGTTATTTCGACTGGGTTGAAAAAGAAGATTCAAGCGGGGAATCAGTTGCCTACTATGATGTTAAGTTGTATTTGCTAAATGTATCATTGTAATGTACTCACTGTTTGGACATGGATTTGTCATTCTGGTTTATCTTGTAGTAGTATTTGCAAAATGTCAATTATGCAACATGAGTGTATGCATGTTAGTTATTCAATTAAGAACATATATTCCTGTGATAGTGTTGGTTTAATTCAATTAAGCCTACTATGAGTGTATGGTTTAATTCCTGCAATATGAAAAAAAAAATGAATACAGAAAAGAAATATAATATTCCAACACAAAGTTTAATGGATCAAGAATCTAATATTCCAACACAAATTTTAAAACTGAAAATTCCAAAATAAAGTTAACACCGAGCAACCTCCTGTTACATGTTGAATAATAACATCAACGAAAATCACAAGTTGGTGCCACCTTGCTCGGTGAGTACCAAAAATTATGTACAATTGGAATTGTCCTTCCAAATAACGGTCATTCGTTAAAGGCACAATTTGATTCCTTTTTACAGCAATCCTCCAACACATACGTTCTACAAGCGCACTCATCTCCCTCCTTATTCTTAGGTCTTCTTCATCCCGTGCATAAGCTTCAGGGGACGAGTAGACAAAATAGCCTCCAGGTCTAAGAAGCCTATCCAATTCAAAAAGAAGGAGCCCATCCCTCCACAGCCAATCAATTCTACAACGAGAACAGTGTGCAAGTTTAAAAGATCTGCTTGGGTAAGGGAGTCTCTTTGTTCAAGAACATCAAGATATATAGGAATTCCTCTTTCTAGCGCAAATTGGATCTGATTTTGGTGCAAATTATTTGGTGCTAAAGACATAGCAAAGATATCGAATTTTAGAAGGTAAGCACCAAAACTGGCAACACCACAACCAACATCAAGAACTGTAAAACATTTCTCATTTCATTCCAGCAACAGGTCATCATTCTATCTTCCACAATATCTTTCCCTGCAACAACATTTCTTATTTCATTACAATTTGCCAATTATATTTAAGTACCAGCAAGACTATGCTACGAACAAAACTCAGCAACTTAGGAGACACTTGACATATGTCCGGTGCCGTTATTCAATGACTGTATGAAAGTACAAATGGTTATGGTTCAAAATTTACAAAGCACAACTGAAGACGAATTTTTCTCACTGGGATATCAAAGTGAAGGTTCAAAATTCAGAAAATTTTTGCCCAATGCAAGATGTTCACTTTCAGAAACATAAAACAAAAACATGTTTTGAGGCCGAAAATTTTAGGAAAACAATAAATTTGGTCTCTGTACATTTTCCAACACTCCAAAATTTCTCCAAAACTACTCTTTTCTATGACACCATATAGACTATCATAGCCACTAAAGAATATAGTTCAGGCAAGTAACCAATTTCTGAGCTACCCAATTTAGAACCAAGAAGAAAAATACCTTTGTCCATCATATCTCGTTGTCACGGCTACCTTCAAATATTGGTTCAATGTTGAGTTTTGGTGAGCTTTCGTGATTACACTGTAGTGGAGGTTGGACACCGGTTCGGTAGTCGGAAGTTGGCCGGAGAGAAAGGTGATTGGCGTGCTTCTCTGCCGGGAACTTGTGGAGAAATTAGAAACAATTGGTTTGGCTTTGTTAGGTCTTTACCCGGTTTTATTTCACTGTTGATTCTTTTTTTATTTTTTTTATCAACCACGTCATTGATTTTGAAATCCTGTACCATTCCTATAGAAGTTCTCCTGTACGTATGCAGCACCGTAAAATAAAATATATGACTATCACAGGATATGCCGACATGTGGCAGCAGAAACAATAGCCAATTAAAGCCTATTTTATTAGTGGTTGAAATAATAATGTGCACAAATTGAGGATCATATGGAAATATGGAATCCCAAACTTGGTGGATGGTTTAAACAAAGTCCCCATTTGACAATTATTATTTTAAATTTTTTTATTTTACTTATTCATTTTTAACTATGCACTCACACAATAAAATATTTTGTATATAAATCCAAAATTTTTTCTACTTTTTAATCATGCATTCTTTAAAAATTCACTATTCAAAACTTTTTTTTCTTTTTTTTAATTTTTATCAAATAATGGCCATCAAACAGGGGTTAAATGTAACATGTCATTAATTTCATAGATAAGTATGAGACAAATTAAAGTTTATTAGCCAACGCAATACTAAGTACAAAGTTCGCTGGCCATGAGTGAAACTAATCCTATCATTGTATTATATTTACTAGCGAAGAGTGCACAATGGACGTAACCCACGAAAGCCCACTCTCAATGGCATAGTTGAGATTTTCATTATGGTAAACTCAAGGCCACTAAGGGCACCCGCCAGAAACAAAAGCCTTCACTAAAGCGAGGTTGCCTCAGAAAAACTTTTCAAAAGACTTGACCCCCAGACCCAGGCAAGGACACTTCGTCTGAAAGATTTCTTTGAATCTGTTCCATTTCTATATTTCCAAATCTTATTTTAGTGTTTGTATCTATGCTTTTTCGAGACCGTATTTATGCTAATTTCAAACTATACTTTTTGCACATTTTCTTCTCCCTCTTTCTTGATTTCTATTGCACTACTATACAATCAATACAATAGTACAATATAGTACTGTACAATTCCTTACCAAACAAACCACATAGGTGCGGCAGCATATTCGAGAAGCCAAAGAGAGGACGGGAAACAAAAGAATGTGGGAAAAAAAACAGCAGAGGAGAAAAATTATTACTCCTACCACTGCCTCAGGATATGCTTCAATAGACACTTCTTCTAAACTTATGTAAAACTCTTAAATTTTTTCAAAAAGACAGCAAAAGAATTTCTCGTATTCTCGTTAATCCAAAAGTGTACTCCTTGTATCACAGCAGAATCCTAGAGCACTTTGTGTTCCTCCATTTCACCAAGTTGTTGAGAAATTCCATGACCTGCACGTGTTATTACAGAGACAAATTATTTTTCCAAGGTTCAGAATCCTCTTCAAAACCAGAAGCAAAACGAAATTGCCCACTAATTGATAGTACCTCTGATGGATCCCTGAGAGAGTAAAATGCATTGCTTTCCTTAGGTGTGGAAGAAACTAATATACCGTAACCTCGATTACCCTCTCGCAAAACCTATAACACGTCAGCTAGTTAGATTTCTTGTGACGTCTGATTAACTACGCCACTCAGTGTTTGGAGGAAGAATTGGATAACACTGGACATGTTAAGGAATAAAACAAAAAGTTCAACTCTTGTTTTTTATACCATCCAGTGCTGTTGAGTCTACAACTGCACACTGAAAGCACAAAAAGGTCAGCCTATTAGCAATCTGCTCTTGCTATGTTAACATTTACCTTAAATGCATCTTCATCAGTGCGATCATCTCCAACATATATGGGAAGAACATCGTCACAATCAACTAATCCTACAGTATTACGCACATTATCTCCATTAGAAACTTTTCAAGGAAAAGATAGCACATTTGTGATAAGGTCAATATTTTACTTACCAAGTGATTCAAGTAGAAACTCGACAGCCTTACCCTTGTCCCAGTCAAGCACTGGTCGAATTTCTAAAACCTAAACGAGAAAATAGAACAATTGAACCAGTGAAAAGCAGGAACTTGTGAATTCTAAGATGCACAGAAGTTTTAAGCTGTTATAGAAGCAATACCTTTCTACCATGTGTCAGCCGCAGTCGGGGGTAGTTTTTCAAAATTTCTTCAACATGTTGGCCGAGTACTTTCCAACTCTGTGATTGTTTTAAGGTAAGCAGACGAAAGTAGAGCACACTTTAAATCAGAAATGACTAACAAAAAAGCATTTCATCAGGAATATTAATTCCAAGAAACCAGAGAACATGCCTTTTCTTCTACATTACGGTAGTGTACAGAAACGCAGAATTTGTTGTTCTCAACTTTTGCACTAGCTACACCTTTCATAGTTTCGACCAGGGATATAAAAACCTGACTTGGGCATGAGTAAAAACCTTCAGAAAATTCAATATTCCTTCCAAGACAATATAAATGTATGGTGACATTTACATACCTCATCAATCATAGGCAAGAATTCACTAGCAGGCTGGAACAAGTTGACCTCTTTGCCCTACTTACCCACAAGTAAAAATGATTAAGTTTATCTTGATAAATAAGCGAGATGAAAGATTCCTGCAAAAAAGATATCTCATATAATTACCTGCTTCTCAGATGACCTAATACAATTTACATTGTCGTTGGAAATGGACTGAACAGGGCACATAATGTCCATCCCATGACTTCCAGCATAGTAAAGTTCTCTAAGTCCTACAAACTCATAAACCTGAAAAAGTGGAATATGAGAAGAAAAATAAAACATTCAATAAACATCTATGTGAGAAGTTAAAAGTTAAGTTGAAGCAATGATATCAACACATAAGAATCAAAGAGAAACAAATCAATCACCTTATCACGGCTTCTCCCACTAATTATTGCCGTTGGAAAATAGTTTGATGCATTTCTTACAGCGTCACGCATCTGTAAACAAGTTACGTAGTTTCAGAAAGAACTCAAAGGGAAGGGGACAAAGAACAATTTTGTAATAAATGCCTTCCCATGCCTAAAAGAGCTGTATGAATAGAATCTTACTGCATTTGACATGAATGCATGATCTGGGTTGTCTACGATTTGGGATAAGGTCCCATCATAGTCCAAGAACAATGCTAATTGTTTTCCTTTTGCAACATTTGCTATTTGCTCAAATGATGCAAGTGCTGACGGATACTTTATCTGCAGAACCAAACAGGACATATAAACTCTTGCCTCATCTAAAATCAAAGCTAACATTTGAGGAAATGATAAAACAGGAGGAAATTACCATCCAATTGCGATAAGCAACGTCGCCATCACTTAATGTTAACTCTGTGCTGGAATCTTTAGTTAATGTGGTATGAGTAGGAGATGATGCTTTCATGGCATCCAGCACGCTTGACCGAACATCATCAAGTATTCCGGGCCTTCTCCTTGGGATTGGAAGGTGGAGAGAGCGAGAAAATACTGAAGCATTGGGTGAGTATGGAAGAAGAGATGAATTGATGCCTAATCTCGAGTTATTCATCGGAGCAGAGTCGGCAAGAACCGGCGATGTATGATTAGGTTTCAGATCCATGCAGATTTATTGACCAACGAACAAAGTACTGTTTCAGCCTGTAAAAATCAGCTCTTTAGTCGAATAAACCACCTCTTAAGAGTAATTTTATCAATGCTGTCTACAAAGCTGTCAAACCAATCAAAAGATACCAGAAAAATAACAATCATAAGAAGATGTTACCGACTGGAGAAAGGAAATTGAAAACCAAACTGTCATCATAATCCAAGTCAAAATCCTCTCTTTCTTTATATATATATATAT